AATAGTATTGGAGGGAGGGAAAAGAAGAAGAAAAATATAAATAAATAAATAATAAAGATATGGAAGAGGTATTTAGAAAAGCGCGAATTATTCGAAATAACGATTCACTATTTAAATTTCATCGCCCTCTTGAGAAATGAATATATAAGAAATATTCGTTATTAGTTTCTTCTTTTTCTTCGTCCAATTTTCACGCGCAACGCTTTCGTAAGATCGTGTACAGAGGATGGAAAATACGCTTGTAACGAAGGAGAGATGAAGAAAAGAAAGTAAATCCGTCTATCTTCGAATCTCGATCGAACTTGGTTTACAACTGTTTTCGCGATTCAGCGCAGGATCGCGTTTAGCTTGACGAGAATTGGACGTTAAGAGTCGAAAACGGGCGGTGGACAGTGTCTCGTGGACGAGTTCACGCGATAACGTGGCATAATTAACCGTGGCCGGGAAGAAGGATGAAAACGGACGAAACGGAGGGGATTCTAATTTCGTTGGAGGATTCTGACACCCAGACGGACGTGAACGCGAGGCGAGCGTTATAGCCGTTGTCCATAATGGCGATGACGCGCGGACAATGGTGCGTGGACATAAATACCACGATCAGATCTCTGGACACGCCTTCGATTAAATTAGGAACGGTCCGAGTGGCAAAAAACGATTTAAGTGTTTAGACGCTCGAGAGTGGATCGTTCTCGATCGTGGTTTAAGCACGCTTCCCTGTTACTGTCGGCAGGCCATCGAAATCATCGTCGATCATTTTCGAACCCAAGTATTCCACTCACTCGCCCCGATCGATTTCTGATTGCCGGCTGCTTCGTTGCTGCGAGAATATTTTCGGAATATCTCGCCCTATGAACTTGTACGTCATCTTTTTCTCTTTTTTTTTCGATTCGTAAGAAGGTTTAGAAGGTTTAGAGGGAAAAATGAAATTAATTATCCAAATGTTGTACGAATGCAAAGGAGGAAGGAAAAGGCAGAGTGAAATAATCAGACGCGTTTCTAGGAGAAACAAACTAGAAAACGAATCGGGACACGGCTCGGACGCGTCGCGAAGCAAAGAGCCAAGTCGAGGAGTCGAGGATAATTCGTGTGATCAAAGCGACCGACTCGTTGGCATCGTCTCACCTTTAATAAAGCTATCTGCCATCTCTAATATCTCTTCTCCGGTTGCCCCGCCAAATAGAGAAGGAGACGAGGGAAGGAGGAGGAAGAAGAAGGAGAGGAATACCAAGTGGACGTAGACGGTGAAGAACGGATGGATGGAAGAAGAGGAAGAAGAGGAAGAAGAAGAAGAAGAAGAAGAAGGAGAACGTCGATGTCGAAGGAACACCTTTCCACAACGAAGCCTTGTTCACCAGGAGAAAAGACACGTCAGCCGTGTACGCACCTCGTCTCTTCGGGGCCATCGATACGACGACGTGGATCCCTTCTTCTTTTCGTTCTCATGGCTGTCTCTCTCTCTCTCTCTGCTTTCCTTTTATCCTTCCGAGTATCTTACCTTATTATAGTTACCATTCGCAGCCGATGGTTATCGGCGACTGCCGTCAATTAAGCAATTATCGACACCTTGGACTCGGTGCCAGGTAAAGATCCAAGATCATCGCGTTTGCTGGCTCATGGCCTCGAATATCGATCATCGGATCGATCATCGCGACGTTGCAACGCGATGAATCGCTTTGGTTCCATTTCTCGGTCGAGAATTCGTACAAATGTATAACGGTAGGCTAGGTAGATACGAGTAGTAAGCTATTCTTCTCTCGATAACTGGCTCGGCTACTGGCAATTAAGCAATTAACCGAATGCTTGGCGGAAACCCCCATGGAAAATCCGTAGGAAAAGTCCTTTCCTATTCCAGATACTCGGCCATGAGCGGAAAGATACGGAAACGTTTCTATGGGCTTAATTGACCGTGGCGGAGGAGCATCGTGGTGCGAGCCATTAGCGAACTTATCGAAGTCCACCGGGCTAGTCCATCAACAAACTCGTTAAGTTGATTAACCTCCGATGCACCCCTTCTTGCGCGGTTAATAAATGGGCGATGTGTAGATAAAACCGTGAAATATGAACAGTTATTAATTTCACGGTTAACGATTGTCGGCCCACCAAATAGATTACATTCGAAATAACAATCCTGTTTTTTCCCTTCCTCCTTTTTTTCTTCAATCTTATCTCCAATTTTTAACTCGCGAGAAATAATTCGAATCTCTGCGAATATATATATTTATTACGAATTGGAAAGGATTAATCGGTAAAGGAATTAAACGTTGAAAAGTAGGTTGAAAGCGTTTGTAGATATTCGGATATCGGGAATGGAACAATTATTAATAAAGCGTGGAAAGGGACGAACGAAACGAAACGAAGAGAAGGCCGGCAAATAAACGATCCCTGTACGGTTAATTGGCGCTACAGGTTTTTCCTTAAATCAAAAACTGTCACCGGCGCGATATACCGGCGTATACGTGTATATCAGATATCGATCTACCGTTATTTACGAGGCCAACCGGATCGTGTCAACGTAACAGCTTCCAGGATACCGGTGTTCTGATCACGTTCCGCGTGTCCCCCGTTGTGTTGCGTCCTTACAGGACGCGTTTACGCCGCCCGTACACGCGTATATGCGTGTAGCAATTTACCGGCCGAAGAGGAGGCGTCGGGCTACATAAATCAGAAAGACAACGCGTCAGCTTATTAACCACCGACGATTTATTTCCGCCTGTTGGTACACGGACTTTCCACGCACCCATCTGCTCGTTCCCGGCCCGAACTGTTGCGATAAAATTGAAAAATTCCTTCGAAACGAGAGAGAAAGAGAGAGAGAGGCATCACCGTTTCTATTCGAACTTTTTTTTTTTTTTTTTCGAATCTTTATCGAATCTTCTTTCCTCTCCCTTTTCACGAATGAAAAAAGAAGAAAAAGAAGGAAAAAGATCCGTTTGTTTCCACGTTTGATAAACGATAAATACTTCGATAAATATTAAAGAATTTCCCATTGTCGAAACTTTCCTTTCAAGTTTTCCCCGTTATCTGCTCGAAACGACGAAACGGATGCGCGTGCATGTAAACGAATTCCAGACATAAATTTACCGACTTCCGCTCTCCATTCAGCGGCAAAGAACGCCCGAGACATCATCGGTATATTCGACGATACTTCCGGCAATTCTTGAAACCTCTCGACGTGTATGATAATGCTATCAATGTCAGGTGAAAAATAACGTTTGCTCCTCTCGTGTTCGAGTTTTATGCCTCTATACGTCAGCCCATTTTCACGTCCAATTTAAAATCTGTACCCTCCTATCATTTTTCTCTCGTCGCTTTCTTCTTCCTCCTTTTTCTTTCACGAATTGATCCACGCGCGCGATTGTTGCGTAAAAAAAAAAAAATAATAATAATAAGAATATTAACAAAAGATTGAGAAAGGAAGAAAAGGAAGAAGATAAAGGGAACGAAGCAACAATCGGAAGAGAAGGTATCAGGCGTATCAGGAATGCGAGGAAATATGGCGAAGGGTTAATCGTGGCGGGGTGGGATCTCCTGCAATTAATCGAGGGAGGAGCACGTCGGATTTTAAGGACTCCTCCTGGTGCGTGAAGACCCACCGCGGGTTCCGTCTTCCGTTATTTATGTTGCTGGATCCAAGGAGCTCGGGGGGTCCAGGAATGTCCACCACGTTTTCTTCCAAAACGCGATTCGACCGTGACTATTAATTATTGCCTCGACCCGCACACCCGCTTGAGACAGTTCCGACACTAGGCTCGGCTAGATACAACTCGGATACAACTTACCTCGTGGCCGATCGTCGTTTTCCCAAAGTGTTGCTCGAAAGGAAAGGGAATCGTCTTCGAGTGGTCGGTCGTAAACGATCCCGGCAAGGAATAAATCAAGACCACATGTGTGTTTCGCCAATACTACTTTATTCACCCAACCATCTCAATCTACGCAAAATCGCGATTTTTAGCCACGCGTGTGCCCGCGTGCGTCTCTGTCCTACGCACGAGCGTCACGCTGCGCGGGAGACGCAGGCGTATATTCCAGTGGCATACGCGCACGCTTGGAATAATTAACGAGAAAACGCTAGAAGAAGGCAGCGGGTAGGACAGAAATAAACCGTCGGGTATCTTCCCTCGGCTCTCCCTACCCTTTCCTAAACTTTTCTTTTATTATTTTAACCTCGGAACGGAAGATATTATATTTCTTCCATCGAGTAATTTCCTTCTTTTCGATAAATTTTCTTTTCCCTTTTTTCTTTTCTCTTTTTTTTTTTTTTTTTTTTTTTTTT